CAGCAGGGTTACCGGTCAAAGGATTTTTCCACAGAGAACTAGAAAGAACAGCACTGCTAACATCCCTCGGGTAGGTGTCTCAATCGGATCTGGCCTGTGTCAGGATGTGTAACAACAGTTCTCTTTCCCTCTTTGGCTCACTCACACACACACACACACACACACACACACACACACACACACACACACACACACACACACACACACACACACACACATCTCCTCTTCTCACATTCTCTTTTCCTCTCTCTTTCCCCCATCAGCTCATCTGATAGTGCTCTAACAGTCTCAAATGGTTCCCAGGAGAGGCATCATCTCTGAGCACACACACACACACACACACACACACACACACACACACACACACACACACACACACACTTCCTGGTCCTCATTGATGGGTTCGGCCGTTTCCCTCATTGATGTAAAACGCACGTAGCCTTCTAAACTGAGACAGACATCTGGCATGTAAACAGTCAGCTTCTGCAGCACCACTTCTTATTCATTCAGAGAGCTGCCATTTTTGTTTAAACGGAGGCACAAAATAGTGAATTCCTGCCAGAGCGGAGGGATTATCACATGGCCAGTTGTGGTATTATAGCTAAGTAGGATGGAGAAGGCTAAAATCAGCTGCCTGGTGCTTGGACCGGACAATCTTGTCTGCATTTAGAGGGTACAAGATTTAGCAACTTACAGCTCAAAGCATCATGATAAACCAGAATATAAACTGAATCTGGAGTAGTGACAAATTAGGCAGAGGGGGTATGCATCCTTTTTGATGAATACAGAGACAAATCATCGGCCACCAGTGCTGTGATTTTTGTGTCTATAAAATTTGCTTGGGAAATTCAGTTTCACAATAACAAGATGCTCTATTGAGTCTGTAGTCAGAGGGAAAATGACACGCGCCTTCAGTTGGCTGCTGTGTGCTACAGAGGCAATCACAGGCCTGACCACAATGGAGGTTTAACATTTAGTTTTATGATTTGGAACACCGTTAGACTGTGTCACCGCCGCTTCACATACACACACATAGCACACTCTCACACACACAGAGGGACTTAACAGTGTTATGTATGGTTTCATCGCTCCGCATAGGCCATAATCACCCTCTCTCCATCTCAGTAAGCTCATGCTAAATGACCAGACGTCTCTGGCGGCTGCCATGATTTGTCTCTCCGCCGTGCAGGGTACCTTACCCTCCCTGCCTCTCCCTTCCTCCCTCCTTCTCTGCTCCCATATGTTGTGCCTGTGTGACCGGCCGACGTGTCAGGCCTGACTAACGCCTTAACGGCAAGGCTGACGTTGATTTATTTCCTCTGAAATCTGGGGGCCGGGGGTAATAACACAGAATGACATTATTTGTTTATCATATCCAAGGCTGCTTTTCTTGGCAGAGTCTAGATGCGACGACTTGATGCGACCCCCCTCGCTCGCCACACACACATATACCCCCCACAATTTCTGATTGTGCCATGATTGGAAGGTCTGGCTAGTAGCTTAACCTCATCCAAGGGAATTTTTTTAAATCTGAGCAGAGGGGAGAAAAAAAAAAAGATTGAGATGAAGCAATGCAATTAAATTGTCAAGGCACAGATTTAACCCCGCCATGCAATTTGGGGGCCAATTTATTAAGAATGTTTTCTGTATGAACTAACTGGATGCTATTTCTCTATCTGCAGAAAGAGAGAAGGAAATAGTGTGCAAAAAGAGACAGTGAGAATAAACAGTACTTTAAATACCAGATGACCCATTTAATGAGAGATATTTTATCTTCCTACTGTGTCTGCCACATGTTCTGCTTCTCATTTGAAGATAACGGCGGGGCTGTTTAGTCTGTTGAAACTTCATCTTGGTGTTATTTAGTGATCAGTTCTATCATGCTGGCACTTCCACAACACATTTTGTTCCTTTTAACATGTAAATGATGCATTGCCCCAAAAAGCTCGTTAAAATTTGATCCCTGGCAAATTTGCTCAGGAGCTCAGAATCCTCAAGAAGCAATTAGCAGATTTAATTTGGCTATTTGCCCCAGTGTTCAGAAGTGAGTGTTTGTTTAAAACAGCACCTTCACCTTCCGTTATCAGCTGTGTGAATAGTATCTCCTGGAACACAATGCTGTGCTGTGGAACTCAATAAAAGAGTTAAAGGCAAGGACAACCTCAAAGACAGCCTGCCTGATAACAAAAGGGCCTCACCTAATAATGAACAACTGGAGTTGGCTTTCTTTTCTCTGACGGGGAGAAGCTGGGGTGAAGGAGGGGGGAGAGACGCTCTGCCAGCACTTGCCAGCATGTTTTATGGCTAATTGAAGCATTTGGAATAAAACAGCCACAAAATGGCACCCTTTAGAATTGGAGCGGGGTTAATATATTGTGATCCCACAATTAGCCCAGGATTGTTAAGATCTCTTTAATTCTGTGAGGTCCATTAAGCGGGATGGGCGAGAAAGTGCTCCCACCGAGACAATTTTTCTCTTCTCTCTTTGTTCTTCCTGCCCTCTTTTCCTCTCAGCAGCTGCTGTAGTAATCAATATAAGTGGACATGGCCGTCAGCAGGTTGCCAGGTTATCCTGGCGTCACCCCCTTTGGGTGCTATAGCTCCTGAAGTCCACCCACACAGAGAATTTGTTTATAAATATACAAGGGGCAAGTGAGTCATTGGTAGTAGATTGACTTTGGTGCAGAAACTCTGCAAGGTGCGGCCCTTAAGCTGGCATTGAAAAGCTCGCCCTCCTGGACAGGGGTATTAGATCATGCTCTCTCCAGGGTAGAAATGATCACTGAGGTTTGCTCCTTACCCCAGTTTCTCAAATCCCCTCTTGGCCAACGAGTGCCTCCACTAGAGCCGCAGTAGCGGCTGCAGCATGATCGTCACGACTCAGGGTTTTACAAGTGTCTCTTTCAGAATATGAGAGTCCCTTCTGGGTTATCTTCGGGGATACAGTCTGCCTGTGGGAGCTTGCCAATTGGTGGAGGTTTTTGAAACAGGATTGAAATCGCTACATTTGAGCCTGCCACAGCCTCAGAAATTCCCCAATCCTTTCCAAACCATGACATAATGAAGCTTGTACAGCCCTCTCAACTTTTAATGTAACTAGAGTCACAGAGTGACCTAGACTGTGATTTCTGCAAAATGTATGGGTTTGAACTCTAGAAAGGTGAATAAAACCCCACCCAAAAACAGCATTGCTTGGATAGTTGGTGAGGTTGGACCTAAACAGATGGCTGGCTCATTAAAGACTCATTTGTGATAATCTAAAATGATCCTGCTTTCAATTTCTCATGCGAGGATGCATGTTTGGGCTAAGAAAGGCTCCGGATTTATCAGCGATTAATACCTACCTGCTTAGTGCTCAGGTAATAACTTGGGATGCTGGAAAATGGTGAACATTTCAGAAGCGTAGGGTTCCAGCACAGTGGATTTGAAGCTCCTTGCTAGTAATTAAACAGCATGCCACCTCATACAGAGCAATTTCCTGCAAGGCATTTGCTTGCCAATGCGGCATGGCCCCAGTCTACGTCGTGTTATCTCTGTGAAATATGTCCCCTTTATCATTTTTTAATAATGACTGAGTGCTCATGTTGTTAGGAGAAAATCTACTCAATGAACATCAGATTAACGTTTTCCTCACTGTTAGCTAGCTAACTGAACGTCCAAGATATCTGTGTCATCTGTAAATGAAAATTGGAGGGGGGGAAGCATTAAAATGGGCACTATCTCATTGGTAAATCCAAACCTGCTCCAGAAGTGCCATCCATGGTGGGTGTGTAATTGTGTAAAATCAGTTGGGTAGACAGAAACAAGTGGGTGGGTAAATTTTGTGCATGTGGGAAACGGAGTCTTCTGAGGTACAGCGCTGGTATCTAAGAGGTTGGTGGCCCCCTTGGCATAATGATGGCCACACGCCGTCGCCGAGCGATGATAATCCTGCCATGTGCATAAAGGGATTTGTTCTCGTTGGGCTGGCCACAGAACATCCCGGGGTGACGACGCTGTTTATCTTTCCGCTGTCTTAAAGTCCCCTGGGCTTTTATGGCCCTGGAACTTACAGTTCCTGTTGTCACTTGTCACTGCACAGAGGCACAACCGTGCACACACACACATACACACACACACACACAAACATACACACCCCTTTGTCAAACACGCTTTTCACTGTTAATATACATTCTCTCTATTCTTGTTTTGTTCTCTACATACATACTTATCCCTAGTGAATCTCCCATGTCGATAATTTTCCTCACTATTCATCTCTATATATTCATCTCTCTGTCTTTTTATTTCTCACACACAGTTATAATCTCTACCATTAAACAGCCAGCTGCAGTAAGCACACAACTCCTCTGGTACATCAAAGAGGAGCTGAGTGGCAAGAACAAGGTTTACTTTTCATGAAATGTTGATGATAACTTCCCGCCCATTGTGAACATCAGCTGTCATGCCAACATTTTAAATATATCACATTTATTTAGCATTAGCGAGTGGTAATTTGCCATATCTGAGGATTGCTTGCAAACATCTTGTCGGCAAGCCGATCGTCTCTCAATTCTGTGGGGGAAGATTGAGGAGAGTCAACTTCCACTCATTGTTTCCTTTACCCCCACAAACCCCTCCATACCGCAATGCACCCCGACCCATTCCTGTCTTCCCTAGATACTTGCTACTTGTCAGCCCTGGTAATGGGTTTCTTGGGGGAGATATTATTTTGGTCCAGTAAGCTGCGTGCTTAAAATATGAGTGACAGGCCTGACTCTCTTGCACAGGGAGAAAATTTTGTTTTTAAAAAGGCTGCCAGAATAGAACTAGCTCTGCTGCTGCAAAAAAGAGAAAAAGTCTTCCCACTCTATTAACAATGAAAGCCTGCATGCAACCACCCACTACCTGTACTTCCTTGGAAGAAAAAAAAAGAGAGATGCAACTTCTCCTGACTAAAATGTCCTATTTTTCCTGTCTCTCTGTTTTTCTGTCTCTGTCTTCCCCCTTCCCCCCCTCCTAAGAAGATAGATGAAGAAAATGAGGCCAACTTGCTGGCAGTGCTTACAGAGACCCTGGACAGCATCCCGGTGGATGAGGACGGATTGCCTTCGTTTGAGGCCCTGGCAGATGGGGACGTGACCAATGCCAGTGACCGGAGCTGTCCCTCCTCCCCTGACGGCTCGCCGCGTACCCCAGAGCCTGAGGAGCCTTCCCTGGTAAGACCAACAGTTTCTCCAGAATCTCCCATCACCACCACTTCAGGGTCAAAACATATGTTATCCCTGAGACATGACCAGCCCTGCGCACACTGTTGCTTTTTTTCCTTCAGTCCATGGCAGACACCAGATAAGACTCTTCAACAAGACTGGGCACCAAAAGTGGCCATTTGTCTCTCAGACTATATTTGTCCGCCACATTTGCCACAATGTGTTCACTGTACGTGTAGTGAGAGCTTGCAGAGATGCAGATGCAGGGAGGAGGGAAGTAAATGGAATGGATCAGTGTTTGCTGCTCAGTGCTAATTACATAACAGTGCTATTGTGGCGCCAATTCAGTGATATGAACACTGTGGTGGGGCCAACTACGGTTGACACAGTGCCATAGGCCCTGAAATCAAGCCGGCACATAAGGGGGGTAAGGGAAAAAAAGAAATCCATCTCATCTCGTCTACTCTCAGTGGTTTTCAACTAATCCCCCTGTGCCCAAGTCATCTTTGTTGGCAAAAAGACAGGCCTCTCAATGAGAAGTCAGCTTACCTTTGTTTTTACATACTACCATACCATCTGGGCATTTCTCTAGTTTAAAGGCTTTGACCTAAAATGTTATGTTATGTTCAGTTATAGTCCATTTTATTCCATGCTGGTCCCTTCCAAGTGACCTTTAGCCACATGCCTGAGAGTGTTTATTCAATCACATTACAGAAGCCTGGCTTTGTGTACACAAAAACACCTGCACAGGAGGAAAGACTTGTCCTGTCACATGCTATAAACTGCTTAAAAATCTGTAATCTTTTTAAATATGTCAGTGATTTTATCTTTTTCGAACTGCTGTATAAAGAGACCAACTCTTTTCTTCTCCTACATTTACAAAGGACAGGCTGTCTAATTGAAAGAAAATGGTCATTTGCATAATAACCCCCCACTCACTTCCCCCTCCTTTGCCTCTTTCTCTTGTTCTGTTTGGGTCCATTCGCAGCTGAAGAAGCTCCTTCTGGCACCCGCAAACTCCCAGCTCAGCTATAATCAATACACAGGTGGCAAGGCACAGAACCATGCAGCCAGCAGCAACCACCGGATCAGACCACCACCTGCCGTCGTCAAGGTAGGGACACACACACACACACACACACACACACACAAAATACACCCACTGTCTTGCTGCTTATTTCACTCCTGTATACACATTTTTCGTTAGTGTTTGTTTATCCCTCTCATTCTGTTCTTGCTCTGCCTTGTGGCTTGCTCTTTCTCCCTCCCTCTCACACTTTTCTTGTTTTGGTGGCCGCCTTTAGAAGATGTTAGACTACTGCTCTAGTCTACTATCCCAGGGGGCCATCTCGTAATGAAAACAGGCTGATTGCTGTTGGGCTTTCCAGGCGAGGCATCGGCACTGTTGTCTCATTAGCTCCACCACTTATCCGCCCTGGTATGGTGCCTGTTGGAAAAAAAAAAAGCAGCGACAGGCACTCTTGCGGCGAGATTGATGCCTTGAGACGACAAGATCAAAATATCAGACTTGATGTTCTCATTAGATGGCTCTCAAAAGGATTTTTTTCTAAAGGGGTGGGGTTGATTGAGATACTTTTCGGAAAAAAAAGTATCATACATTTACGAATGTGTATAAAAAAGTATTTGATTTCAGTAATCTGATTGCATTTATAAGCAAGTATATGCCATACTGTATGTTGAGTGTCACATACAGCTTACAGCACTTGATAATTTGCTCTTGTTTGGAAAAATGTCTGAAATCTCTATTTGTTATGCTTTCCCTAGTGCTTAAAATCCTCTCAATGTGAAAAGCATCTGTATGTGATCATATTGTGTGGTAAACACAACACACAGAGATTTGTGTGTTGTGCGTACTGCGTACTATGTTTGCACATGCAGTGCGTCAACCTTCCTCACAGATTCTATTTTCATACTGTGCCTTTGAGTCATCCATTTCTGGAGCACAGCGAATGAGGACTCCCGGAGGACATGGTGCGCGTACAGAGTGGCGCGGTGGTGCTCGGAGGGCCACACAATTAAGATGATGGGCGGACTGCACTTCCACCATTGCCTCCCAGACAGTTGGGCAACCACTGTGCACAGGCAGTCTGAGTTGCTCTTTTAGCCTCTCCGTCGATCTCCATCTACTTTTATTTTTGTGCCAAAAAAAGAACTTAACATTTCTCACAACTGGATCAACTGCACTATAGTGACAACAATGAGCAAAACTTTTTATCTAAGCAAGCTAAATCATTTTCTCTCTCTCTGTCTTACTGTGTGTCACAGACGGAGAGCCCCTGGAATGGCAAAGCAAGAGGGGGCTCCAGCCAACAGAACCGCCCGGTGAGGCGGCCTTGCACTGAGCTGCTGAAATACCTAACGGCCACTGATGACATCCTGCTCCACACCAAAGCCAGTGAAGCCAAGAGCACCTGGGGGGGTGCCGGTAGCAGAGACAAGGGTGGCTTGGGTCTTGGCGCGTCTTCCTCCTCCTCTTCGCCATCCTCGTCATCCACCTCCTCGTTCTCATCCCTCTCCTCCACCTCTTCTTCCTCATCCTCCACCACCTCCAAGAAGAAGTCAGCTGTACCATCTCAACAACAACAACAACAACAACAACAACAACAGCAACAACAGCAGCAGCAACAACAGCAGCAGCAGCCGCCGCAGCAGCATCACCAGCGAGGTGAGAGCCGGGCTGCAGGCGAGTGTAGTGTGGCTGGTGTTGGGGCTGGGAAGTGGCAGCGTTGCAGTCACGATGACGGGGTTGAGGAGTCGGAGGGTGCTTCTATCCCTGTCGGCCACAGAACCTCCACCTGCGGCCATGCCCGCCCCAAACTGGAGCACGGGCCGCCCAGTGAAGAAGGAAGGCCGCCAGGCGATGTGGGCCGCCTGGCCGCCGCTAGGTTTATTAGGTATATGCATTCTTATTCCCTCCCTCCCCGAGAGGTGAGTCACAGCTGTGAGCATTGCCGAGAGGCTGCGGGCGCCACTCAGGCTAGTGAGGGCTTTGGCAGGCAAGGCCGTGGTAACAGTAATGGTGCCAGCCGTGCACCACGTAGGCACATCACAGTGACTATTAGGAAAAGAGATGAGAAGCCGGGGCACCCCTTACTTAGCCAGCTGCTCACCTCCAAACCGAGGCCTGCTCGATATCGAGCCCACTTACTCCCACCTAAGATCACCCCTTTACCCAGCACTCTGAGCAAATCAGCAGGTAAGAGGTCTAAGAGCCCAGCCCAGGCTGTCTCAAAGGTGGAGGAGAAAAAGTTGGGAGGGACCACTGATTGTAGAAACCGGGCTGTAAGTCAGGTTGAAGAGCCTGACTCAGGCTCCCTGTTGTCACCTGTGGCCTTAGACCTAGAGAGCTGGGTTAGCCAGCCAGGGCTAGACACAGGCTTTGGACTAGAGCTGGGGTGGCTAATCCATGGGGAGGATGTTGACCATGATGATGATGAAGGTGTTGATGATGATGATGATGACCATGTCACGGGCAGCCCTGCAGCGGTGCTCTCACAGGGCCCACCAAGCCCACTCTTCCCAGATACTAGAATTGCAGAGCCCGCCCCTCCCTGCATCATACAAGGGCAAGGGCACCCACACAGGCAGGCACTCAGCGAGCACCCCGACGACCAGGGCCACCCGTTGTTAGGTAATCATGACTGCATCCCCCCCACTGGCCTTATCTTTGCTCTCTCTTCTCCCTCTCCTGCTCTAACCACTTCCCAGTTTGACTTCACAACTAACCCCTATTCTAATACGAACCTAACAGTCATTCTGAGGGCACAAACAACGACAACGAACAGCCTGCTAGCCAATGCTTTTTGCTAGTCCCGAAGGCATTCTTTTAAATTTAAAAAGACTGAAATAAAAAAAAAGGAGGGGGTGGGAAAAGGGGTGAGCCTTGTCTTGCTACTGTACGTCTTGTATTCATAAAGTCGACCCTTGAACCATCTTTGGCTGTTTGAGCTGAGTGTGCTGAATATGTACATTTAGACTCAGAGCCCGGGTGTTGCTCCTTAGCGTCGTGCTACTAAAGCCACGTTCCGTTAGCTGGAGCACAAGTCGGCCAGAGCCTCGGGCAACTGCACAAGCTTCCTTGACTCTCCTTTCTTCCTTCTTTTTTCCCCCTCCTCTGCTGTTGGTGCATGCGATTATGACTTTATTGTCCAGGGAGGGGCTCATCCACTGTCATGTGTCTTGTTTGTGGCATCGTCTCTTTATGTCTTTATTCCATTTTCGATCTATTTGTTGTCTTGAGCGGGGTATGTCTGTGTCTAGACACCTGTAAAATACACACCATCACTTCATCCTGCCTCACAGAGTGAACAGTCTATCCTAAGAAAATAAATTGTTAAAACGGGGTCAATCTAAAAATATATGCTTTGTACAATAGTGTCCATAGAAAGACTTTCTAATGGGTGTTTTTGTAGTAATAATTGCATTAAATGAGCCAATTTGAGGTTAACTGTTGCAGAATGTGGACCTGTTCTCTTCTGCCATGAGTGTTATACCTAGATCAATAATTACCCATGCTCCTTTGTGTTCTGCAGCCAAACCAACCACCTTGCCACTTCCTTTGACCCCAGAGTCTCCAAAGTAAGTGTGAGAAGTTTTTCCACATTATTCCAGGCAAAAAAAGCAACAACAAACTACAAAAAAACACAAAGCCAAAGAAAACTATATAGATTAGAATCCAAATTGAGGCATTTTTTGTGAGTCATTTCCATTTCTTAAGATCACAAAAAGCTTTTAAAGTATTACTTTCACCTGAAAAGTAAAATGTTGCACTTTTTTTTTTTGTCTTGCAGTGACCACAAGGGATCACCGTTTGAGAACAAAACCATTGAACGCACATTAAGTGTGGAAATTGCTGGAACCCCAGGTAAGCACACTTTTTTTATTATTAAAAACCCATGTAGTTGTTATTAAAAAATGACTAGGAAGTGGAAATTCCCATCTTGCAGCTGGTAATGGGTTAACTCTAGCTGCAACATCTTGATAGTTCCCTTACAGTTCAGAGTTCAAGGTGAAGGCATAGGAGAACATTTTTATGTGCCTGAGTATTGATTAGGCTTTCCAATCTCTTCAGGGTTTATTAGCAAACCCCTCCCGTCCTCCCCCACCTCCCCTCCGCTGTTACTGAAGAGTTAATATGCTTTTCCTCTTCCTCTATCAGATCCTAATGCTCTCAGACTGACAGCTTACTTAGCCTATGCATCATAGGAAAATTGAAATGGCGGTGTTATTGTTTTAATTGGTTTTGCAGTGTAATTCAGTTTTGCCCATATGATCTGTGCCTTCCTTGCCTTAGGTCCCTAGACATTACAGGCAATTAGATCAGCTGACTTGGATGTAATTTTCCAATGTTACGAGTTATGTGCCAAGGAAGCTGTTTTGAAAATGGAGTCAGTGTGAGGGTTTTTCAGCATCGTTATTGACACCATCCTTTTGTGTTATTTACGTATAATTAACTTCATCAGATAAAAAGCTATAGGCACAAGGTAATGACATGTCAAAAAATGAAGAGAATGTCAAAAGTAAAAGAGAATGCAGAAGCTTTGGTATTGGTAGTTATATCTCTCTTTCTCTCTCTGTGCAAATGATGTTAGTAATTACCCCCCTTCTTTCCCAGATTAATCATCTATGGTCAATAAAAACAAAATGGCTGCCCTTTAGTCCCTGACACGGCTCTGGCCCCTTTGGGTATTCATTTACCAGCAAAGGAAATGATCTTCATGCATACCTTCTACTTAGCTCTCAAGGGAAGAAATCAGACCGCAAGAGGTCTCCCTCTGTCCCTCTGACCTTGGTCAAAGGGCTGTTTAACCCTTTTTGGGTAGATAAGGTTTCGGGGTCAAAGGGGATGCCTTTTGAGACCTAAAGAAGGGAAAGAGCATGGCTGCTTAAGCTCTGGGGCAATCAAGCACGGTTAATATTTCTTCCTGTTTTACTGCACGTGGGTGAGTCTGTTGACCTGTGGCCAGATCTGGGCGTCCGTTCTGATTCACCACATCCATTTTACAAGCCCGGTCAAATAAAGCCCTTCACCTGACTTTGCCATCCTGTGCAAATTTAGGATTGAATATTAGCAGGAAAGTCATTAGCCCAGAAATCTCCAGGTTACTGAGCCCCTTTCCTACTTAGGGATTAGCTTTTGAGTCTCGTGCTGTATGAGACAGATGGATATAGATCCCAGTAAGTTGAGGTGAAAGCTTTTTGGTCCAGAGTTACATGTCCTTTGCAGATTAAGAGTAACATTCCACTACAGTAGAGATTATGGTGGTGTTACTGATAACCGGATGGAAGTTGGGCGGTTCCACCCTGCACCTTTAAAGGCAGGTCGACAACTCACTGATGGAACTTTCCATGAATTGCTGCCAGTAATAAATTATTTTATACATGATGAGTAGTAATAGTAGTTACTGTTTCATAGAAAGATAAATTCAGTTATACATAGAGCTGTACATATTGTACTCAGCCAAATGCTGTTTCATACTAAAAAATAGCAATTTTTTGTTAGCTGTATGTTTTCTTGTTACTTCTCAGAGAGGTACACAATAAAAGCTACAACAGGCAGTGAGGCCCCCTGGGATCTGACTGTTCTGGCCTAATCTCTGCCAAGCTAATAGATTTACCCTGTGCAGCCGTGTTGTCTTTAATTACTGTATCTCATGACACTGGGGTGGTCTGTGTGTTGCTATTTGCATGGCTTACCACCGGATCAACTCTTTAAGCACCGAGTTGTTATTCGCTCCGAGGTCTCCTCTCAATTTACAGCTGGACGAGAAAAAAAGATTATAAAACCCTCTTCTTTCTCTCTGTCTTGCTCACTTGCTCCATCGTTTTCTCTCCGGTGGCTGCATGATTGGTGTTTGTGTCTGCGGATCATCCATCACTAGCAAGTTTGACTGAGAGGCACATATTTATCTAATTCTGATTTATTTCACCCCCATCGCTAATGGCTCCTAGTTTATGACCCCACGCACACATTGTTTTGGGCAGATGGCGCTTCATTGGTGAAACAGAAGTTCCTCAGGCATTGTGTAGCACTCCCTCTCTCTCTCGCCCTTCTCCTTTTCATAGCTCATTTCATTGGCAAACTGCATATATATATATATACTGTATGTCCATAGTGCCCTAACTATCACAACTGAGAGAGAGAAGGGGGGAAAGGGGGGAGTGGCGGCTTGCAGTCCTACTTACAGACACATCCAGATAATATGTAGGATGATAAGCCCTTGGATCAGGCATTCAGAACACAGCAAGTGGCTTCAGAAACTTGCATATTTATGTATCAAGATCCCACATTCTCTTTGCCAAGCTGTCTTCCCCGTGCATACTCAAACACTGGATTTGATACTAATAGCTGTCATTTGGTGCAATTCACCAGCAAGGGAAGAATGATGTGCATTATAAGAAAGGCAAAGAAGAAGGGAGAGCGTAGGTGTTTCAAAGTGCCTGAGTTTGACTCCAGTGAGAGACTGTTAGTGACGAGTGCGTGTGTGTGGGGGCACATTTGTTCTGTGCGAGACAGAAACAGGATAGGATGCCGAGAGACGGAAAGGGGGAGGAATAGAGATTGATCCAGGGAAGATGGCAGACAGGAAGAGAGAGAGAGAGAGAGAGAAAAAGGGAGAATACAAGACTAAAGGAGAGGAGGAAAGCAAGAATGAGAGTAATGGTGGCGGCTGTTTGTGTGAGTGCATTAACAATGCTATAAAGTGGGCTCATCCCAGGACTTCCCATATAACTGCCATCTGTCTGGTTGTAAATCTGTAGGAGGTGGGAGAAAGGGGGGTTGGGGGTGGGTGTGGGAGGCACAAGCAGTAGGGACATGCCATCTGAGAAGAATGACAACCCATTTGCCAGTTCTTCCCTTGCTTCCATGACATAGCAGACATCTCGCCTGGCAACATCACCAGGCATAGTAACGTATGCATTAAGAGTAGTGACATGTCTTCCTATATTGTTCAACAGAAAAGGGAGATGGTGTGCTGGATAAGCTTGAAACACGCATGGCATCATGTCAGTGATTTTTTCTTTCAGACTGATAAAAAAGGTCTTTGGTTTTATTCAGATGAATTGGCTGCTGTCCAGTGCAGACATTTATGTGAGGCAGGCAGAGATATGATACATGTGCTTTAATTCTTTTCATCGGATGCATTACATTTGTCCTCTACAGGGTTTTGTGTTGTTTTTTTTCCATGAAAAGGGATCTTTCCAAGGTCAGAGAGGAAGGGGATGGCAAGTCATCCATATTACAGCACCACCATATTAAGTTACACCAAGCATTACATTAATCTGTCAAGATTGCAATAAAATAGAGATCAGGATTAGGCCAAGTGAAAGTGAATATTTTAATCAGGCATGTATCTGTGTCCACTGTCCATAAACTGACCTGGGAATTTATAGATGAGTGAGGGGAGGAGGGAGAAGGGGTATTTGGAGGGGGTTTGCATTATGATTCCATTTTCATTTTATTGCCTCCGCCAATCTCTGTCTTCTCCTCCCTCTGCAGGTCTGACACCACCTACCACGCCCCCACACAAAGCCAGTCAAGAGAATCCTTTCAAAGCATCGCTCAAAACCAAGTTGTCTTCATGTTCCTCCTCAGCCTTGGCATGCAAAAGAGCCAGACTGAGCGAGTTGGGCCCCGGCGCTCTGGCCCCGGCCCCAGGTGCCTCAGGCGGGGGCCCCACAAGGAAGGGTCCCGAACAGACTGAGCTTTATGCCCACCTGAGCAAAGCGTCCACCGCCCTCCCTTACTCTGTCACCCAACACACAGTGGGGGGTGGCCTTGAGGAGCATCGCAGCACTAGCAACAATAAGCGAGCGGCGCCCCGCTGCTACAGTGACCATGACTATTGCCAAGCGTCAGCTAGCACTAAGAAGGATGGCGGCACAGCCACTGTTACCATGACTACAGTCACCTCAGGTGCCACTGTTGCTCCCATGCCAATTGCAGGCAAAGTGGAGGACAGGCATGTCGAATGTAAGGACTCAGCCATGCCACCGTCCTCATCATCATCATCATCATCATCAACATCTTGTTCTCCATTATCAGCTTCATCTGGTCCTTTGGCTAAGCAGCAGAATTTTGCCTCTGTGAATGGAGAAGCAGCCCGGGTCCAGGGTTTAGGGAAGCAGACCCTTACACAAACCCTCCAGATCCCATCACAAGAGGCCACTACTGACGGGGACCAACAGCACCCTTCTGCCATCAGCCGCAAGCTCCTGTGCGACAAGGAAATCAGAGCAGAACTCAATAAGCACTTTGGTCATCCCTTACATGCCCTTCATAGCCAGGGTGGCCAGGAGAGAGAACCAGGCAGCAAACCGAATAAGGCTACAGCCCCTCAGTCTCTTGAGGAAGGAGAGGATGGTAACTGCTCCCAAAGGGTGCCAGGCTCCAGCTACCTGCACCCAGGGTTCCTGCCCTTCCACGAAGAGCTAGAGCTGGGTGAGGGCCGTGAGAGTCGCTTCCTCTATCCATGGGAGGGCACCCCTCTGGACCTACTCTTTGACTGCCCCCCCTGCTCTCCCTCCTGTTCCCCACCATCCAGCTGCTCCCCTTCACGAGGCTCCGTCTCCCCACCTTCCTCTCTCCTCCTCTCGCCCAGCAGGCCTTTCTGCTGGACCAGCAGCAGCTCCCGCTCCCGTTCTCGTTCCCACTCTGGCTCCCGCAGCTCCTCCTCACACCACCGGAGGCGCTCCCTCTCCAGTTCACCTGACAGACGCCCCTCCTCCTGGTAAGTCATCTCTCACACCCACACACACACGCTTCCTGCCTTTTTTGGCTGAGCCTTGACTGCTCCCCACCCATGCAGTTTAAAACAGGAGCTGGAGCTGGCAGGGGATCTAGCTTAGGAGTGTAAAACAGGCCTGATCAGTCGTCAGGGCTGGTGTCAGACCGGATAGACCCCGGAGACTCTTAGCATGGGTTCTTGACTTCCTACTAGTCTTTGTCTTGCTTGGACTAAATGCAGGATAGATTTGGCAAGTCTTACACACAGAGATTCAACAGGTGAAAGAGAGAGGTGGAACGGATTCCAACGAACTGCAAAATGTCTGCAGTTTTTATACTAACCAGACTATTAAAACAGGTGGCACTTCTCTAAAATGATAAAATATTGTGTGAATGGTACCACCCCCTAAAACAACACACACTTAACAAAAAGGAAAAACCCAGGACATGAAACGTGCCAGAGGCGCTGGACTTTTGAACAGTACGAGTTTTAATCTCTAGGCAGGGAGTTTTATTTGAATGTCTTCCTAACACTCACCCCCCCCTCCTCACTTGCTCCCTCATATGCTCCTGTTTTTTGTTTGATGCCGGGGCTATTGTTTTAAGCGGCAGCTGTTGTTTTTACTGAGTGGCAAAGCCTCCTCTTCTACATCCCCAGAGATGAAAGCCAAATCCAGGCTGTGGGAATGTAGTCTCAAAACCCCTCTCAAAAGAGAATCGTATCATCATAGCTCTGTGTGAGAACTACATTTCCCATGCTTCTCTTTGATCAGAGCCTAGGGGTTTTCTGTTGGTTTTTTTTTTTTTTTTTTTTGGTAGAAGAACAGAGGCAAAGCAGAGTTACTGAGAGGGATGTGAGGAAATTCAGTTTGTCAGTAGTAGTTCATTGAGTGCCTCACATTGCAGGACTCCACTGCAGTGACTGAGTTTGTTTGCCTGATTACTTAAAGGTCAGTTTACTCCACAGAGCCAATAGAATCACTTTATTCTGTCCAGGCTCTTGTTCTTTACTCCACACCAACTTGCTCACAAATTATACAGTAATAGTCTCAAGGCATTCGATCAGAATCTGACATGCTGACACGACAAGCTTTTTCTGAAAATACTGGCTAGGGATTGGAGTTTTGAAAGCAACAGAACAAGAGGCTTGTTACATTTTCATGCAAGAAAAGATAAATAGATTTTCAGCAAAATAATGCTCAAAAATCCCTCCTCCCCGTTTCAAGTTGCACAGCATAAGATCTTCAATCTTTCCAAACTGGCATTCCTTTGCTTCTCTGAGCTTCCCAAACTTCTCTCCCTGCATAATTCAGCTCTTCCTTCTTCAGCAACACTTCAATAATTAAGCATCAGAAGCCCTAACGTGTGCAGGGGTACAAGCTCTACAGTCTGGTCACTAGGGCATGCAGTATTGACCGTTTCCTCATACAACATAGATGGCAGGTGCGTGTATATGATAGCTCAGGTGTGTACAAAAGTTCTGTAGAAAATCATGCACACTTTCTGTGGTCATGGGTTAGATGAGGGAAAGGCAAGGGAATACAGAATGCTTTTATATGGAATTAACCCAGTTTCTAACATCTAAATGGGTCTTGTGAATATCAAAGAAGTTAATTTGGCTCCCAAAGCCAAGAACAAATTAACCAGGGTGTCACAAGTTTGCACACACAAGTCTTTTTTTTTTAAAATGTGTGAGATGAACAGCATTCCTAGGTGTTGCTAAAAAATAATACTGCCATATTCAACATTTTCTGTTTCTCCCACAGGTCTCGTCACAACACAGATTCAAGCACTTTTCGTTCCAGGACTCACAAGAGCCCCCACCCTCAGTCTCGATCTCCTCTCAGCCGCAGGCCAAGGTGATTATTTTAAATGAATTATTTAACCTCCAATTTTATATGTCGTTAACCTCTGTTTAGTCGCGTACTTGGGTTTAGGACAAATGTTTATTCTTAGCAACTGCCTGGCAAAGACTTTGTTATGGTATGTAAGGAAAGATGGCTGAAATAAAAAAGTCAACCTAGACAAATGCAGTGAAAGTAACTTTTCCCTGTCACCATTCATAAATAGTTTGCTTTCTCTGTGATTCCCTTTTCACATCAAGACCAAAGCTTGTTCACAGTCTGTCCCATCCACACGGGGACCCCGTGACAAACATTCAGGGCAAATATGTTTAATTGATCATGTTTTATTGGACTTGTGACACAAGCATCCCAAATCGTCATCTCATACTTCACCCATGAGTTGACGCTCTCAGCTGCACAATGACGCTTATTCAACTTAGTGCCTCTGTAGTTTTCCATGAGCCACTGCAGAGGGGACCATTTCATATGCAGAGAAGTACTGGCACAGCGCAGAAAGAGAGAGAGAGAGAGAGGGAGACTGACACCATCTCAGCGCTCCGAGCTGATTTGGCACCCACGGGCCTAATGACACCCGACAAGCCCGAGAGTCGCTCATCAGTCGAAAACTTAACGGACACGTCTTATGCTAGTCTTGGGTGGGGGAGAAAGTTGCACTTTCCTTCTTGATGAAGCCCTAACTAAGCAGAAAGTAATGACATGTGAAGTTGTGCTGACAGTTGCAACTGCCTGGCTCCCCGACCGCGCCACTCGCCGGCACTCCCGCAGGCCTATCCTACGGGCTCCGTAATCATAGCGTTGGCGAAGAGACATCTTATTAACATGTCTATTTCCTTTCTTTTGCAACCCTTCTCAACCATCAGTGGCGAGAGAATAGTGGACCTAGTCCTTGGTGAATACTGGTAATTGTTCTTCGTAGACATCAACAGGAAGGGTGAATATAGAGGACGGGCTGATGTCATACTTATCCTTTCCTCCGCAGGTATGACAGCTATGAGGAGTACCAGCACGAGAGGCTGAAGAGGGAGGAGTACCGCCGGGACTACGAGAAGCTGGAGTTTGAAAGGGCCGAGCAGAGAGAAAGGCAAAGGCAAAAAGCAATAGTGAGTCAACTGACACAAACGCCATCTAATTTCCTCTATCCTCTTTTTTTTTCTATGCTTGACTTTTCGTCTTCCCTGCAGACACTGATAAAAGACCGCATGCAATCACTGCTGCTGTGGCACATTTACAAATTCCTGCAAACACACAGAAACCTCCCACAGACACACACACACACACACACACACACACACACACATTACTAAGGATGAGACAGCCTCCAGCCCAGTGCCATGTGCCACAGTGTCTCCCTACTGAAAGAATACATACAAAGTGAGTTCCTGAATGATTCAGGCGACAGGCCCTTCCTCTTTATCTTGGGGTTGTGTATTTTTAACGTCTCTGTCGTCTGGAAACACTGTCGTCTCTTATTAATCACACCACAGGGGTAAAATGTTAAAATAGTGGAAAACAGAAACTAGGAGAGCAAGACGGGGAAAAGACAAAAAAGGAAACGGCCACTGATTCTCTGGAGCTCTTTTTCCTTTTTCTGTATCTGTTTCAAAATTCAGCCTGATGCAGTGAATATCACATTTCTGCCATATCTCTGCTCTCCATGTCTCGGTGTGAAATTACTCAGGTTTCCAGCAGTGGTAACGCTACTACCACCCGTTGATAAAGCACACATTAAATGATGCAGTAACGCAAACCTGGCTTGGCACCCATATATTTTCAGAGATGGAAAGACAAACAATTGCGAGTAGTACAGCTGAAGCTGTCAAATAAGGTTTGGGAGGCCAGGGATGTGAAAGCGTGTCTGTCTGTCTGTCTCTCTCTCTCTCACTCTGTTTTTGCTTCATTCTCTCACTCACTCACACACCCACACATACACAGGCAGCCCTCAGGGTGCCATCAAGAAAAGGCCGACTATTTATCAGTTGTCAGCAACTAAACCCCTAATTCAGCAAATACTCTTTTTTTGTCTCAAACAGTATGTAAGCGAAAGAGAGAGTGGAAAAAGTATAAAAACAGTCATCTGTAGTTAATTTGTATCTTTCTCGGCTGCTTTATATAAGTCTAACGGGGCAAAGGTGAACTTTGAGTTTAGCACCAAGCAACTGATTTACATACATGTTACGACTGCCCTCAAGACAGCATTACATTTCATTGGGCCTCAATAGACTTGCCCCAGTAATGGCAAGTAAATGAATGAATAAATAAATAATACTAGTGATACACTACAGCCCCAGGCTTGTGCAGTATTATATGATTAGCAGATGCAATTAAATTACTCAAAAGCTGTAATTGCAGCCTGGTGCAGTTTGCTCCTAAATTATTCCACTATGACCCCCTTGTCCTCTGAGGTTCAAGGAAATCCGTGTTTTTTGCCCTGTGGCTCACTACTGTTGCTCTTAATGCACCCTCTCTCTTGGAAATGAATATCTCTACAATATTAACAGACCTCTCATTGAGCAAACTACTTTACTGTGTTTTGTGAGTTTGACTCCTAAGTTGGAGAGAAAGAAACAGGCTTCTCTGATGTATGGCTGAGTCACCACAGTTTTATTTTTAGACTCCACAAAAGAAGAAGCAGCCCCCAACTTAAGACATGGCATCATTTGATAAAAATCACTCTGCCTCTGGTTGATGAGTTGCAGAGAGAAAAAGGAATTGTAGTGCCAAGGCAGATGGAAGGCGCTCTATCTGCAACTCTATCAGATAACAGGAAGCAAGCTGAACCAATCACAGTGGAACACAACAGACAGACAGAGGAGAGGGGCAGAAAACGGAGGGCCTAGAGTCAGCTGCAGTATCCACAGGAGTGATCAAGACCAATTCATTAGGGCTCGGTGGAGAAAAGAGAGGGGAAAAGGAAAAACAGACTCCCCCTTTTAATCTCCTTCCTCCACTCTGTCTTTCCCCTTAACGAGCAGGAGGAGAGACGGGTGGTGTATGTGGGGCGACTGAGGTCCGACTGCACCCGGACGGAGTTGAAGCGCCGCTTTGAAGTCTTTGGCGAAATTGAAGAATGTGCAGTGAACTTGAGGGACGATGGGTAAGGCCCCAGGACTTATTGTGCATGTGTGTGTGCGTCTATATGGTAGTCTGGCGTTTGTGTAGAGGGATGGAAAACTGCTGTAGCTGTTGAACTTGCAAAGGCAAGTGTTGAAGGTCTAAGACAAAGATGGAGCTTTTGCAGTCTCAGAGCGTCTCCTGATCCATCTTCGTTCTAGGCCTACGGAGCCCCAAAGATACACTTTTATTGATTCTCTTTTGCATATAAATAGCATGATCGTCATCTAAGACAAGGCCCTCTGTTTAGTTATTGTTGCCCTGCAGCCCCACTCTGACGTATCATTTTCTATTCTTGACCAGGGACAATTTTGGCTTCATCACGTACCGCTACACTTGTGACGCCTTTGCCGCCCTTGAGAACGGACACACCTTACGCAGGTCAAACGAGCCTCAGTTCGAGCTGTGCTTTGGCGGGCAAAAGCAGTTCTGCAAATCACATTACACAGACCTGGGTAAGTGCAGCTTTGTAGCTTTGTTGTTCTCTCCATCAGCCCCCTGTAGTCACACAATATATTTGCATAGCTGGGAGGACTGTCAGTGAAAAGGGGGATAAAAAAAAAAAAAAAAAAGGGGGGGGTGATGCTTCCAGATCAAGAGAGACCCATCTCTGTGCTTGTAACTATTCCTATGGCCCTGAATTTGTCCACCAGGCATTTGTGGCTCAAAAGGTCAAAGAGAGTTCAGAGGTCAGGCTGTGAACATGCTAAGAATAGAGCTCCAGTTCCTCCCTGCTCGTAGCTGTAATATCTTAAGGAAAACAAGGCAGACTACATTACTCATGTGGACATGGGATGCTTGTTTCTGCTTTGTTGAAATGAAATGCAACTCATTAGGAAGAAAGATAGCACTTAAAAGCATGTGTGCAGCTGTATACCAAATGAGTTTTCATCTGCCGTTGGATATACATGCGTGGGTGTGGGAATTACTTTTAAGAGCATGGCGAAGAGGAGGGAGGAGGAGAGATGAAATTACCAGGAGAAAGACAAAATAGAGGAAAGAAAAGGAGGTGAGGAAGAGGAAGGTGGGAGCAAGGTTAGGTCCCAGCAACCCCTCCTCCCAATAGAGTGAGGTTCCATCTGTTGCCAGCTGTTACGGCGTTGAAAGGAGGTAGAGCCTTGATGTGGCACGTAAGGGCCTGAAATTTACATACAGGGAGGAGAATACCTACTTATGCATACCTTGTGCCTTTGTTGGGGGTCAGGGGGTTGTGGCAGACTGCAGTGTGGCAAAGTGATTTCTCAGAGTAAACATGCACGTATGTAAGCAAGTACATAGCTTCTACATTGATCAAATATATACAACAACTAGAAATCTGCACTCAAGTGGATGCAGCTTGAGGGTTGAATGATGCATTCGCTAAATAATGCAAGATATCAATGAAATCAAGGCTTTTTCCTCTTGCATGACACCCCACTTTTGACATGGGAAGGAAAAAAGGGTACTTTCTTCTCTTCGTTTAGATACAGTTGTTGCGCGGTGATAATTGAGCAGCGATGTCGAAGGTTAAGCGAGAGATGCCCCATTATGTTGAGTGTTTCACACCCACAAAAGATCATCTCCATTTGGTGATGAAATACAAGATGGGTATTGACGCTTGCATCTGCAGCCAGTTTTCCTTTGACATTTATTTACAAGCAAAATGTGAGGTCAGGAATGTATAATGCACTGCTGCTAGAGGGTCAAAGGGTCACTAGAGAGAAAAAGAGCACTTTCCTCAATAAATGAAGCAGTTACTATACATTTTCAAAGCACATGCTTGAAGCTTTTAAAGAGGAGGACATGATGAGAAATTGACACACAGAGAAACAGTTACTAATCCCAAAGCCTTGAGGATAGACATTATGCCGAGATTGACTAATCAGTCTACTCAAATGGAAAGGCCTTCATTTGTCCGCCTCTTTGTCAGGATAGGAACAGGCTATTTTGGTTGTCCCCGTACTGATAGCACAGGATAAAGAGATTGAGAGGAAGGGAGAATCTAATAGTGTGGTATCCAAACCTCTCCCCGTCTTCTCAATCTTGTAGGCACCCGCTCCTTTTTTTTTCGGAGACACTGTCCATTAGTTTTAAGTAGAGCACCGGGGTATTTTTCATCCCTCAAGGTGCGCAGTGTGACACAATCCAGCCCTTGGCCATTGCATTAGATCACGACTGGCGTCTTCTGGCTGCCATGGTCATTCCCATTTCTCAAAGCTCTCGCAGTGTGCTGCTGGGCCCTTTGGGGGCCCCATTTGTGAAGCTGTCTGTTGGCAGAGATAAGATACTCTTTATGTATTATCAGCTTGATCAGGAAAAATAGGACATATGAGAGATGGACAGACACAAGGGTATGTTTTCACATTTGTTACCTTCGTGTAGAAAACACTTTTTCCTACCCTCACTATTTGAATTATTTGGTGGTAAATAGGTTGCTATGTAAACAGGCAGTTATGAATTGAGACATTTTCCAACTATTTATTGTGGCCAGCCAAGAAATCATCCAGTATATAACCACTTATAAAACATTAACTTTAAGACTAACTTTTTGCATATAGCAGGCTGTGCATTGTCCTCTATTTCAAGCTTTGATGTTACTCATGATTTTGTATAAATTCGGCAACATGATGCGTAATGCAGCCAAAGGAATAAATTACATTCTTCTTAAGGAATATGCAGATCCCTCTTAAGCCGAATAGCATCATATTAACACTGAACTACACATGACCGAGCAATATTGGTATAAAGGCCAAGTATTCTGGGAATGTTTTCCGAGAATACAAAGGTGAACCTCTTGTTTTATGTGCATTTTCAAAGAAGTCCTGCTCTGCTCAACACTGACCGCAATCCTTTCTTGCCGCTTTCAGACTCCCATTCGGACGACTTTGATCCAGCCTCCACAAAAAGCAAGTATGACTCCATGGATTTTGACAGCTTGCTGAGGGAGGCCCAGTGGAGCCTGAGAAGGTAACCAGTTCAGTGGCACCTGCTGTCTGTCACAAAGAGGGACTTCTGATACCTCACTGTTGTTTCTCGCTCCTTTGACGACGAGACTACCAGAAGTTTTACACTCTATGTCATAGAGTATATAAGAATAAGTCTATAGACCTATATCAATATAAATGAATATATCAAAAATAAAGTTTACATGAACATAGCTGCTGAAGAGCTGGAAAGAGACAATGCATTCTGGGAAAGCCAGTGAACCCTCAGAACCTGGTGCACAGGTTTGGTGCACTCTACTGCTGTACAACCATCAGTGAAAGAAGAAAAGAAAAACTTTCATGATTTTTTTTCTCCAAGCACTACAATGCCCACAATTCTTTGGGAGTGAAAACATGCAGCTTGTTCAACCAGATTTGTTTTCTTTTGCTGTTGACTTTTCTTTCTTTTATTCTTTTAAATCTGGTGTTTGGATCTAGTGTTACAAACAAGAGTATAGGGAATTGTATCTTGGAGGTAAAATTCTCAAGGTAACATTGTTGTCTACATTTTAAGGAGAAATGTAGCTGTGTATTTACAAATACTATAAAAAGGAATATTTTTATTTTATGTACATATCGGATAAAGTTCTTTATTTGTTACAGCTATGCACTGTAAAATGCAGCCTTTTTTAAAAATGAAGAGAAACTTTCTTAATTCAGAATGTCGATCTGTAGTAATTACAATACTGTAAAAGATATTGTACAGCTACATGATGTTTAGAAGACATGATATGATTGTAAAAAAAAAAGAAAAAAGATGTGTCCAATTGCTCATTTTGAGGGAGCATGTGAACAAACGTCCTTTTTTAAGTTATTTTGTTGGGGAAAAAGCAGTCAACCATGTATAGTTTTATCTGTTTATAAAGTTTCTCAATCAGTGTTTTTGCTTATACAACCAGTGTAAAATGCATTTTTAACGTGTTTTTCATGATTGTAAAAAAAAGGTACCCCATTTTTTTATTAATTACTTCTGAAGCAATCAGTCTATATATACATATATATACATATATATGTATATATATATATATATAAAACTTGGTTTGATTTCATTGCTTTGTATGGTTCTCGTTTTGATTACCTTCAGTGAAAGACGATACTGCATTCAAATCTTTTCAATCAGTACAAACACATATTTATCTATTTATTTTAATATTTGAATCAAGAATATTTATGGGCTCCATTTTACATGGCGCACCTTCATGAACTGTATTTACTGTTTATGTTGTCCTTTTGATTTGTGTTATTTAACTTGCAATCACTAGACAGGGTGTACAATAAATGGTTTGGTGGGGGATAATATTACCTTCTATGCCTTTCCAAAACAATCAAAACATTCAGCTAATCACTCCAGCAGTCACCCCCTCATCATTTTAATGATTTCTGTCTCCACTACCAGTCAGATCTGCAGGTCACTGGTTTTTCTTTCTACAGAAGCAGAACATGAAGCAATAAAATGATTTTGCAGGAATTTTGTTGTACCACTGTAAACACTTGTTGTCATCGCTCCACTCACGCTTGATTATGTGAATGCCAAACAAAAGTTTACAATTTCCTTTTCCTGAATTTTTTAAAGATCTTGTATTTGATGTAATATATATATAAATATATATATACAATGATGATACTACTAATATTATTCACAATAATTACAAGATGATTAATAAAAATAACAATGATAATAATATAAATGAAAGACAAAAATATATAAAAAGCAATAAATTATTTTTCAGAGTTGTATTTTAGCTCCTATTGTTGTGTGATTTTTGGACTTGACCCATTACCCAGTCGCTGGTAGCTAGGATGACTCCATTCCAGTATCTTGGCATTTCATCACCGTGACATTATCCTGTGCGGTAAACACTTGATTGTCCCCGCTCCAAACTCTCCTCCTCTTCCCTTTAAGATGTAATTGAGTCTATGTGATTGTAATGCACACATTACTTTGTGACATCTGTGCAAACGTGACTCTTAACTCCACCCTGTGTGTACAATGTGTCGAGTTGAAACTGTTTGTTGTGTAGTGCATGGCTATTACAGGATGACAGTTGGTAAAGTATATACCACTTTGGATATCTGCCTCTCAGCTGTCTTTAACTGGCAGATTTTAAATGACATTCTATAAGCCTAGAGAAAACTACTCAACGATGTATCGCATGCCGCACCATTTTCCATCACAGACCCGCCCTTCCTCCACCCACCAACCCCCCCACCTCCCTCCCCACTCACAGTCCAGATATCACAGCGCCGTCGACATGACATAAAAGGTAACCTTGCGGTTTCTGGTTCAATTAATATCCCGTTCCTAGCGCGAGCCAAGTAATGAGAGAACCAGCTTCCATCACAGGAAGAAGAAATCTTTGTATGAAAGCTTTTCTGATCACAGGCTTCCTTTCATGGAGTTTGACTGTGGAGACAAGAAACGGCAAATTTTTATGATGCAAAGAGGCAAAAATTGGTCAAGGGAAGGATAAAAAACCCTTTACCTGTGTTTTAACATTGTTTTACTTTTTTGCTGTCTGTATAGCGTTTGGGTAATGGTGTCGTGTCCCATTTGATAGATGTGGCTTTAATCATTGTAATAAAAAAATGCTTTGTAAATTGCCTAGAGTAGCAATATATTATAACACCTTATGGTTCAAATTTCAACTGTGGCGGACTTTTTAATAATGTGACCTATTGAGGACTTTGCCACTGCTTAAACGTTTGTTGGGTAATCATGTTTCTTTTGGAAGGACAATATGTGTATGAACAAATGTATGTGTGTGTGTGTGTGTGTGTGTGAGTTTGTGATTCTGGCCGGTATGTGTGTGTTTCTGGAGGTGTGTGTGTGTGTTTGTGTGTGTGTGTGTGTGTTTAGGGGTAGGGGGGTGGGTGGGGGGGAGTCGCTGTGGGTCGTTACCTGTTTGTGTCCTATCCACGTTGCCTTCTGCCAAGTCCTTACCAATGCCTTTGTGGTTCTACCTATTGTACGACTTTCTTGTGAATTTCATTTTTTATGTGCAATTCTCATCAGCCTCACCATGCCAATAAAGGGAAATGTGTTTGAAAAAAACCCCAAAAAAACCAACTTCCTTTCTTTTAGTGGCTTCCCTATTATCTTCCTTTCCCTGTGATGAATGTCCCTTCATCAAGCCCTGTTGTACCGCTTTCAGTCAGCGCCGTGGCATGATTATGATTTGTGCTCTCTCTGATTACTATCAAGAAGACATCTTTGAAGTTCTTAAGAAGGAAGATTCAAAAGTTATGAAAACAATGCATGCTTTAAATGTGGATTCACAATAAATTCATCATCCCCTCCCTCCTGCGCTTATATATCAAAGTCTTCAATGAAAGCTGACTGACGCAGGAGAAATGACACGAGCCCATCCTCAGCACATCTGTCTCCCTCTGAAGTTTCTCCCCTAATAAAGAAACTCTGCTTAATTCAGAGCAACTTCCCTCTTTGATATTCATATCACCTGGGAGAGAACACTGTAGTCTTTGTCTGTGTCCACAACTTGACTCCACACCATGAGTCTGCAAGTTAATTAAAAAGTTGGGGGGAACAATTTCATTAACACGATGGAGGGCTATAGTGAGTTGATGGTGTGCTTGATATTCAATGGGGCTTCATTATGATTATAACAACCCCTCCTTTTCCTTTAACACACACACATCGTAGCCTGGGAGCTGGGATCACACCAGGAGCCCTCCACTATGTCCTTTTTTCACTGGCGCAAAGAGAAATATGGGAAGAATGTGCATTAAACTTTAAGGTTGGGGGTCTGATTGTGTTTTTTATTAAGGCCGCTGTTTAGCCCCGGAGAAGAGAGCGGCTGGCTTTCATTTCGGCTTGGCTGCCGCATTACAGCGGGAGGTCTCCTTCTGCTTGCCCTTTCCACAGAATGAAACTGTCCCTGGAAATCTCTCTGCTCCCTGTCGGCTTTTTCTCTCCCACCTCTCTCTTTCCATCACGATAGGATGGCTTTTTTATCTGTTATGTGTCTTTTTTATTATTAACCAGTAGATAAGCAGCTATCTCCACTCCAGTTGGAAGTAAGTGGTAGCCTTGGAGATAATGGGGTTTGATGGGGCTGGACTCTCTGTGGGACAAACACTGAGATGTTGCCGCTGAGTTGTGTAGCCCTGTATTTTATTTGGCATCTCGCTGTGGCTGCTGTGTCGGATGCTGTTGAAATCCTGAAAATGGCACTCACTAGTCGGGCCTTTGTTTCCAGCTATGTGACAAGAATGTGTAAATGGTTAGTGTTTTTGGTGGCCAAAGCAGTAGAGAGCAGCTTTAAAATGAAAACCCTGCACAATTTTGGCAGCTCTTTTATGGGGGTATCATCCTTCGACTGCCTGTCTCAGTATCATGTAAGCAGGTTAGGGTGTGGAGAAAGCACTCTTCGATAATAAGATTAGACTACCTGAGACTAGTTAATTAAAGCCTGTGGGGTGGAACATGAGCAATCCTACCGGTAATTTACTATCAGGAACTTTTTTTTTTTTAATACTCAGCCTAGCACAAAATACGTCGAGTACAAATTTCCCTTCTATATCAATAGAGAACAACGGACATTGAAGCAACAACATTTATCTTGATTCTATCACAATAATTAAAGTTAGGTGACACTGATTATCTCTGACTACAAGGCTGGCAGAGAGAATAAAAACAAGATTATAGTGTGCCAAAGACTGAGGATTAGAGAGCTGTTGGTGATGACAAAATAACATCAAAGACACGATGCCAGGATGTGATGCTGTGTCGCCGAGTTCTAGCCTCCAGTGTCCCTTCAAGGTTTCTCTTTGCTCAATCCCCCAAACTCCTCTTCACTTTCTGTCTCTCTCCTGCCCCCTTTCTCTCTGTCCCTCCTTGTAGCCTTTTATTTTTAGAGGATTTCATGTATACGTCAAGTGTGTAATGCTAATCTGTTGCCAGGCAGAATTCCGTGCTACTGGAGTGCTCAAGTGAAGCAAAGCCAACAAGACTTGGAGGAAGAAGAGAAATCTGGAAACATCATAATATCATGACTGCCATAGCTGCAGGCAAGAGGATGTTATTCCAATCAGATTGCATGTACAAACTGGGGGATGATTGGTAGGTCTTTTGCAGTTGTCTTGCAGTGGTCACATGACCCACTGGCTCTCATTTGATCATAAGGAAAATAAACACTTCCTGCGGCTGTTTGCAGACCCATCATCTTGAATGAAACTGTGCATTCTGTCCCCCATCATCTCTGAAAGTGGAATTTGATGAATCAGAACAGAATGAACCACTAGATGTTGCTTGGCTTCCATCTACTGAAGCGCTTCTTTGTTAGTGACATTTTTTCTTTTCCCTACAAGCCTTCCATCGTATGCCACCTTATGGGAGAAGATAATGACTGTGCTATTAAAATCGCAATCTCCCTATTCGGCATTCTAGTTTCAGCAGTTTCTGCTGTTAAAGAGTAATGAGGAACAGAAGGACAGTATTCTTCTTCCCCCCAAACTATCAACTTTGGGGACTGAATGTATTCTTCGCTAGATAATTAATGGCTACAGACAAATGGTGGTTGATTGAGCGACTCATCCCTCTATTTTCAATCACCATCTGCTGTGTGTTGCTGGCAAAAAACAATGTTAATTACCTCAAGTGTGCCCAAGACGTGGTGTATTAATTAGAACAACAAAAAAAGGAAACCTAAAAGATTCAAGTGTTTTAGTATCCGTAATGTTGTGTATGTGCCTGTGTGTGTGTTCATATAGATTGTGTTGATGGATTAGCATAGAAATCAGCTCCAGAAGGCAATCTTTTGGTAATTTGCCCTTTTGATCATTTACTAACAGATCAGCGTTGGCTTGATGTACCTACCTTTACCTGCTTCCTGTACCTCGAGGCCATGGCAGGCCTTTAAGAATGCTGGGGCTGGCAACTCTCTGCCACACAGAAGGGACGTCAGCAGAAAGACGAATCTCCACTGTGACCGCGGGGACAGCCAGCTGACAGAGAGCGTTAGGGCTCCGGATGCCGACGGCTGGGCTTTTTCTGTGTGCGCATCACCTGACCGAAAAAGGAAGACCAGAGAGCGGAAAGAGACGAAGCAGGACTGACTCGACGTGACAAGGCTGCAATGGCGCTCTTTGGGCCAAAGCTGCGATGGCACCCTGCTCCCACACTCTAAGTGTGCAGATGGTGAGAGTGGATTCCGAGAGGCCTGGCGTCACAGCGCCGTCGCTAACGAGCCGATGTGGAGAGCAACATGTAAATGTGATGATGTGCGCAGCATATCATCGGTTATTATTTGGCAATCATGGAGTAGCATCAATAACAATTAGCATAATTTCCCTGACTTCAGTACTTAATGACTTCATTCAAAATACTGACAAATCAAATATGCTTATTTCCTTCATACAAATGGGTCATTTACAGTCTGTTACTGACTGGATTAAGAACATCAAGTACCGCAAGTACAGAGTAACACAAGAGATGAATTACAAAATGACTCATGCTTCAGTATACATAGAGGTAAAAATCTATTGAATATTTCACTGGTGCATGCATCATTCTTTACATTGGTGGGTCTAAACTGTTTTTGTTGTTCGTGACCTCTTTAAATGAGGCAATGTGTGAGTTGTGAGCAGTTTAATTGAAGAGTTATTAACTCTTCTCACACATTTACATTTAATTTCAATACGTTTTAGAGACCTTTCACACAGGCAGGGACAGGCAAAAGATTATTTAAAAGTCCAAAAAAACCCACATTAATTTATATTGCAGAATTGTATTTTTTCTTCTTTTAGCTCTTCACCGCTCATTGGGGTCCCAACCCACAGTTTGGAAACCACTGCTTTAGAAAGTATAATGCTAGCTGTCTAGTTTTTATTCATGTTATTTAAACTGTCCCATACCAGTTGGATCTGGGCTTCATAATGGCTCCATCGAAGCATTCTTGAAGAGATGGCTCGGAAAGAAAGAAAAGCTGAGTGCTCTCTCCCTCTCTGTGTATTCTTTCTTGCTGTCTCTCTCCCTCTCTCTCTCTTATCTGCTCAATGTATTTTTTGCAGAGTGGTCCTGGCAGATCGCGGAGTTGTGTCTAAATCCAGATACTTAGCCCCCACCCAACCCACTCACTCCAACACAAGGGCCAACGCGAGCATCTCTCCCTCTCTCTCAGACCCCAACTTGAACCCATGTATTACACAGCAAGCCATCACAGTACAGTAGAATGGGCATATGGACAGTTATTGTTTGTTTGCACTATTTATGTCAATGTACAGTCTGCGGCAAATGGCTCCGTAATGCAATCATTCATTCTTGCCATCCTGTGCTCCCGTCCATTAGGCTAATGATATTTTGCAACCATCCTGGGTTGCCTGGCTGTTGAAATCATGAATGTGAGAAGTACAAGAAAGTAAAGAGACCGCTGGTTAATTGGAGGGCCGTGATCAAATTGCAGTGTCTGGAAACATCTGCCCTGTAGTGCCCTTGAGCAACAGACAGGATTACCAGCAGCTCCAAAGAGGCTGCTGTGTAGCTGTTCTTCTGATCTGACCAACACATGGAGTGTAGAAAGTGGATAGCAACAGGAGATCAATAAAGTATCAAAAGAAGAGGTTTGATGCTGTCTGTCCTC